AGAAGAAACAGCCTTGTAAATTCCAAGAAAACAAAGCCTAGTAAATGTCTACATAGTGGATTTACAGAGTATGAAACAACAGGCAGAAGATTTGTCTGGCAGCAGTAATTTGTACAGGTAATAAAAGACACAAGATAAATTCCTTAACCTTTGGCATAAAACCCCCTGTGCCTTCCTAAAACCACTGGAGCCTTCGAGCACCATGATCCTCCCTAAACCCGCAACCCAGTTTGCTTTCATTAATAGGTGCAAACAAGGTAAGCCTATCCAAACCTACCAAACCACATCAGCCTCGCTCCTGGCTTCCTTTATTACAAGGATCTAATAAAACCTAATCGCTGCAGGCTCTCTCAGCAGTGTTAGAGTGCCATCTGCTGGACAAAGAACAGACAACTGGAGATGCCATTGCAAACTCATAAATATATCTGCATTATTTTAATGAAACCATTATCGTTTTCTTTTTTTGTTTTATTTAAAGACTTGCTGCCTCAGTAAACAATGTGCCAGATCATATATTAATAGGCTAGTTAATGGGCCAACGCAGGACAGATTGAAGCCTTGTTAAAATGTGTGCATGTCTTTGCAGCGCCCTGGCACCCGAGCCTTATCGCACAGCTCCAGGCGCTCTTAAGAAAAGCTCTTTATTAAGATATAGTAGCAATGAAATTATGAAAAGGCAAGGCGAGCATTTGCACAGTCCGTGGAAGTCATATTTCAGCTGCAAATCTTCATTCAGATAGGCCACTCTAACTCAAAAGTATTACTTAGAAGCGAGTAATAAGCTTATGGATTTATAAATTGGAATCTCTACAGGACAGTTTTAAATCCAAATTTATTACAAAGGGAACTAAAGTGCATAGGTGGGTCTTAGGAAATGTCCTTTGTACATGAAAATGTATATGGAAATTGTGGAAACTCGGCTAAATTTGTAAGGTAATCTTCAAACTCTGGCACCTAAAAGCAGATAGAAATTATAAGCAATCAGCAGAACCAACTCTTTAGAACAGAACAGAGAGGATTGTAGCTTTAGTACATCTTTCCCATTGTTGTTTTTCTCAGCTGCGATTTTTACTTTAAATCCATATTGCATGTTTATTCAAGTTCTATTTGTTCCTGGGAAGCTATGTATTTACACAGAACAGGTTTGCCCCATCATTTGTGCGAGATTAGCGTGGAAAAGCATAATATTTTAAGATGCATTACGCAAAGGTTTTAAGAAAAGGTACTGTTATAACATATTTCAGGGATTATGCTGCAGTGACGCGACGCTCGGTGAGGTAAGTAAGAAGACGCGCTGGCGCTGACTCGAGTATAAGCCGAGGGGGGCACTTTTCAGCCAAAAAAATGGGCTGAAAATCTCGGCTTATACTCGAGTATATACGGTAGGTAAAGTTCAAAAGGAAAAACATATGAAAATCCCTAGATTAGCAGAAGTGCCAATCTACACCCAGGCAGTCAAAGGCATCTTCAGTGCCTAACAACCAGCCAGGGGCAAATCCTTAGCCTTCATGCACCTTGTATGCACTTGGCATATGGGGAAGTGGGGCTAAAGAACACTGTGCAGCACACGACAGGTTCGCCTTATAATTTGAGTGCAAAGTACGGACAGATGAGCTGAGCAGATTGGCATACCAGGCTGGTTTACAATATGCTGAAGGAGGCAAGGTCTCTTCCACCAAAAAATTCTTCCTCTCTCCCACAACGATTTTTTTTTTTCTGTGCACACTGCTCAGCGCTTGCCCAGTGCAGTGTATACACTCAATCCATTCAGAGCAACTTTAGGATGAAGTGAATGGGCTGGGTGCCGGGAAGGATATAACTCCTGTGTGCATGTGTAGGAGTTACATAATCAGTGGCCACCCAATGGCTAAAGAGGACCTCTGAAAATCTGGAAGCATCTGCGATGGAGATGGCAGCAGCAGGGGAAAGAGCTGAGGACCAAAAGATCAATCCTACAGCACTGGAGGAAGCACACTTGTAAGGTAAGAGTGAATTAATGTGCAAGTATACTGTGCATACTTCTACATTAGGGAAAAACAAAAGTGGTTTACTTCTACTTTAAAACTGGGAGTCCGCACTGGTGCTTGCTCCAAGTTCTACCAGAGAGCAGAGAATTCACACTAGAACATGTATAGTTTTATGTTCATAAAGCTGCAGTGGAATGATGTACATTGCTTGATTTTCTGTAACTGTTCATTTATGTCTGCAATTGCCTAGAAACTAATCAGACCCCCTTCCTAAAGGTCAGAACACCCACAGTACATATTATAGCTATGAAGTGACGCTAGTGGATTGAACCATTTATGGACCTCTTGTAAAACTCAAGCACTCCAATAATAAGCAGCCCGATGCTATATTATCATGACGATATTTTATAAACCACTGAAAAGCTCCTTGTATTTCACGAAGTACAGTCAGCATCCATGCCGAATGAATACTGCGAGCCGCCGATGACAGGACCAGCATTCAGCACAAGTCTATCAGAGCCTTGACTGCACATTTGCACTGAAATACATTTGTGTGAAATGTTCTCCCAGATAAAGGATTCTGAATGTTTAGTATTTCTGGAATTCCAGGAACTCCAACCAGAATACACAGTTAGGATAATGCACTTTCAAAGTCCTCAGTATAGACTTCACTGCAGATGGTCAATAAAGCCTAGACCAGAATTTGCTCTAGCCTGTGGCTGGACAATGAAGGAGTATCAGCACATTGCCCCGGCCATCACTCTGCTCTCTCCTCCTATTGGGAAGCATCCATTGTTAGAATGGACATCACTGTGCTACACAGCAGACATCGACTGACTCACTGTGCTGCCCCTCTGTCTTCAGCCTAAGCACTGCTATGCAGAGGATTAGAAAAGGATAATATTACAAGAAATTAAGATACCCATCAATTTCTGAATGGATACAAAACCAGATTGAAGAGTGTTTTTTTAAAAGGTATGCATTGAGTTCAACTCTGAAAACAAACGGAATCAATAAGTAAATTAATATGTAAGAAATGGTTCTCATTTGTGGGCAAAGCTCAATGTATTTGGTGTTTTATTTCACTAAAAGCAGTTTGTGGTTCACCTATAACCATTTTATGCTACAAGATGTTTACCAGAAGCATCCATTAGTGTCCCAATACCGACCATTAAGCATATCAAGCTGAAATCTAAGATTACTGCCCATTGAAGTCACATTATGTGAACTGTGCTGCCTACATAAGGTGAAGTTCCATTCTGCTCCTCTTCTGTTATAATATCCCTATGTCCCAACGCATTGCCAGTACTATTCACTGTTGTAGCTTCCTGTGTCACCCAACAGGTCAACAGACAAGAAATCACACACAAACTTTCAAGGTCTTCTCAGTTTTCCTAGAAGCTGTCTGACACTTCCCACTGCAGCTTCAAGTGTCTGAAAGCATGCTTCCCTGACACCCAATGCAACAGCTACCAAACGTGTAATAGTGAGATCCTGGAAGACCCCCACCCTTTCCCTTACCTCACTGCTCAGCAAACTGACACCATGTCTAAGTATACTGCGATTTGGTCCCACTGGATTGATAATTTTTCTCCCCTGCTTTTTCTAGGGAATCTAAAGGTGCCCATACATTTTACGACCATCGCAAAACCTTTGTCTTGCGATGGTCGCAAGCTTATTAAAAGCTCGTACGATCTGCCCATCTTGGACAGGCTGATCGTACTTGCGCTGGGGGGCGGGCTTTCCGATGACCACAGTGAAGGGCGGGCTTCCGATCAGTGCAAACGGGCAGTGTGCGCATGCACACACCGGCCCGTTTGGCAGTTGTCGAACAAGCAGGCCACTAACCCGCCGAGAATCATACGATTCTCGGCGGATTTTCAAGCCTGCTTGTTCGACGGAAGACGTGCGACCGTACAGTAGAAACGGGATTACCCGCGATTCTCGTACGAGAATCGTACAGTGTATGGGCACCTTTACTCTGAGCTGCGAGGTCCCGAAGTGGAAGGGCCGAGCCATGAGGAATGTGAAGTGCGTCGTTGGTTTTCTGTACTTGCCTTTTCTGTCCCTTCTTTATGCGTTGTCCCTCGCATGTTGATTCCTCCCCGTCTATAATCCTGTTCTTACTTTTTTTAATATCACTCCCGTGTTTATGGTTATATATGTACTCCTGCCCAAGTTTATCT